CGGCAGGGGGAGAGGTTAGGGGTGGAGGGGGAGACTTGCCAGGGCTAGCCGGGGCGGGGCGGCGCCCAAAGCGGGGAGGGGGCGGGACAGTGACTCCTGGGCTTGGCAAGGAGGCTGGGCTCCTTCCTTTGGCCTCAGAACACCGTCGCACACCTCTGCGGCTTCTGCTCCCGGCATGGCGGCATTGCGACACCTCATTTGTACCTCTCCCTTGAGGAGGGGACTCTGGGCTTCTGGAAAGGAATTGCCACTCCCCCCTCAAAGGACCTCTCTCATCTCCACCTCTCAGTTCACCCTCATGGGGTCATTTCCTGGTCTGCCCTGGCCCATGGACCTGAAGGACTAGCTGAGTTTAAATCCCATGGGACCACTTTTGGTGGCAGCCAGCCTCTGGTATAGGCCCTTTCCACAGTTTCACTTTGTTTTAAGCTATGGGCTGTCCATTGTGGGGCCAGGTGACCTCAGTTCTGCCACATGGACTATCAAGGTGCTGAACTCTCTTCTGACCCAGGCTGCCAATAGGGTTTCTTGAAGGTGCATCCTGCCATGTTTAAAATACAGGAACTTCTAGGAAGAGGTGGTCCCTTGGGCCTTCCATTTTAATGCTGTTACTGTCATCTAATTGTCCTGGCACCTTTCCTGAGATGGGTTGGGCTGAGGGATGGGGTTCTAATGCAGGAGAGAGAAGGAAAGGAGGTGTTCTTGGGAAGGCAGGGCATATAACAGGGCTTTACCCAGCCAAGGAGAGGGGATGTGTGTGCTGAAGCCTGGGGTTGGGGGACAAGGAGAGGGGCCTCTAGGAGGCTAGACTCAGAAAAAAAAAAAAAAAGCTGTGAGAGGGCTCCCAGTCCATGCTGGCTGCTTTACCCAGCCCAGGGGCAGCTGTGACCTAAGTGCCAAGGGCACTGGCATTCCCAGCTTTTAGTTCTAGGACCCAGAGGGTTAGTGCCTGGGTGGGTGGAGTATTGGCAGAAGACCAGCTAGAGGGGAGCTCTTCCTTGTGAGAACTAGAGAACCCATCTCTCACTCAGGGACCAGAGGGAGATTTGAGGAAGGGGCTACTTCAGGCTGGACTTGGACCCTGGAGTGAGAAGGGATCAGAGGACAGGGAGAAGCTTGATGGAGGAGACTGCAATAGATTCACACAGCAGGTCCTGGAGCTCCCACACAGTTTGGGTACTGCCCTCCCTAAGGCCCAGACCCATTGGATAGAAGGCACAGGAGGCCCCACAGCAAGCCAGGCTCCTAGTGCAGGAGAAGCCAGCAAATAAGAGTCCAGCCTGTGTTCTCCAAGGTTTTGGTTCTTTCTTCTCCCACCTCCTTTTCACATTCATCCTCAGAGAGTCTTGGTTTCATGCCTAGGTCTCCAGGCTTGGGGTATGTGGCAGAACTCAGATGGGGACACAGAGGCACAGGCGATCCTATCCCAAGGTCACCTAAGGTCCCATTACTCCAGTAAGTCAGACAACACATACTAAGTACTTGCTGTGTGCCAAGCACTCTTCTAAAGCACTTTATCTGTACTTTAGGGTCCTCAAACAATCCCCATTTGGTAGGTCCTATTATTATCCTCATTTTACAAATGAAGCTAAGAGAGGTTAGGTAACTTGCCTTTAGTCACACAGCTTGTAAGTGAGCTGTAGAACCAGGACTCAAGTGCAGGCCAGCTAACTTTAGAGATTCCACTCAACTCCTGCCATACTGCCTCCCAAGCTAAAAGGCCACCATGATCTCTGTGCCCAGAGGTGAACTGTGCAATGTAAGAGTAGTCCAAGAAATGAAACTGACATGCACACACACTCCTACCCATGTTTGTGCAAGCATGTAGCCACATTCAGTGTCATCCCTAAGTGTTCCCATATGCACACAACTCTCTCCCTCTCAGCCCAGGCACATGAGCACGCACAGATTGTTTGCACAGAGAGAATGGGGACCAGACCTTTCCCCTTTTCTGTCTGATTCAAATGGGCAGGGCTCAAGCTTCTTTACCCCCTCCAGGTTCCCACTGGCTCCTGAATCCTCTCTCCTCCACACTCCCCTACCCTCTGAATCTCCTCCCCCAGCCCTTTCCTGGCCGTTGGCTTCAGCCTGTAGCAGCAGCTGACTCCACTTAGATGCTGGCAGTCCCTGTCCCAGATCAAAGGCAGAGAGGCTAATTGTGCGTCTTAACGAGCCCCCCACCCCCACCCCAACCAATGCTCCCGGCAGCCCAGCTGGCCATGGCCCCACCCCTCTCCCCCTCCAGCTGGCCAGATGGCACAGTGCCTGCGTCTGCTCCAGACAGTCGGGGCCAGGACCGAAACTGGGGCCCTGAATGGGAACTGGAGGCAGACCCAGTGGGCTGGACTTCTCGAGGCCTGGATGCTTAGAACAGAGGGTGGCCACAGACAGAAACTCCGCCTGGTCACACCTACATGGGGCTGTGACAGCTACTAGAGACCATGGAATGGTTTCTTTTGCTGCCTGTGGTAGGTATGGGTGGTCATTGCAGGCTGTGGACTACATTTCTCCAGTTTCTTCCAGCCTACCCTTGAATGTAACAGAGCCTAGAATATGATGGTTGGCTTAGCACATCCCCCTGGACCAGCCTCTTGCTCTCTCCTGGTGCCATCCATAGTCAGTGCCATGGAAACTGGGAACTGGGCTACCTGGTTTCTTACTCAGCAGCAGGTCTTCCCTGTCAAAATCTTTAGCAAAAAGTTGTCAGGCCTGGAAACTGGGAGAGCTGGGGCTGGATCCAGCTCCATAACCCCCATGACCTTGGGCATCTCCCTTTCACTGTGTGTGTGTGTGTGTGTGTGTGTGTGTGTGTGTGTTTGTTCTGAGGAGTAGATTTCTGAGGTCTGGGCTTCCTCTTGAGATCTGAATATTGCCATTTGTCTAAGGAGCAGGCTGATGACTCCCTCAGCAATAAGAAAAGTGCTTCAGAGTTCCATAGACCAGTGGTCGGCAAACTGCGGCTTGCGAGCCACATGTGGCTCTTTGGCCCCTTGAGTGTGGCTCTTCCTAAGCCTTAGGAGTACCCTAATTAAGTTAATAACAATGTACCTACCTATATAGTTTAAATTTAAAAAATTTGGCTCTCAAAAGAAATTTCAATCGTTGTACTGTTGATATTTGGCTCTGTTAACTAACGAGTTTGCCGACCACTGCCATAGACAAAAGGCAATGGATAAACACAGGCCATGCTCCTCAGCGTGAATCTTTCCTCCTTTCTCTTGGGCCCCACCTCCCAGAGCAGCGCCTACTCCTCTGCAGCTGCCACCAATTCCCAGTATCCCCTTTGAAGGTTCCAGCCTAATATCCATCTCCTCTTGTCTGTTCATAGCTGGCTTCTTATGAAAGGTCCTAAAGATACCACAAGCTGGAAAGAGAAAATAGAGAGGGACAGTCTGCTGTATGGGCTTCTGGTGACCCAAGTAATTTATTGTAGATGAGCTTCTGGGCTCTGTCCCTGATCAGGGAAACAAAAAGTAATGGCCTGAAACTATAGAAATAGTGAGTGAGGTCAGACAGCAGGAAGAACTTAATAGCTAATGTTTACATAGTACTTACTATGAGTAAGGTATTATTCTAAGTACTTTAAATTTACTAACTCATTTAATCCTTGGAACAACAATGAGGCAGATAATAATAACCCTGTTTTACAGATGAGAAAAGTGAGGCACAGAGAAGTCAAGTCGCTTGGCCAAGGTCATATAGCTACTGACATCTAATAAGTGGAAGAGCCTAGATTTGAACCCAGGCAATCTGACTTTAAGTTCATAATCTTAACTACTACTATATATCTTGGGGTTTTTTGGGTTTTTTTTCTTTTTTTGTTTGAGTTGGTTGGGCAGGAAGAGAAGGACAGGGGCCTGTGGTGCACATGGTGAAGTTGGGCTAGGGTCTCTGTCCAGTCTTGGTTGGCTCTCTGGAGCTGTAAGTCCTCTGAGAGCATGTCCTTCCATTCTTTGATGCTGAATGGAAGGCCCCAGTTTTTCCTCTGAACCTCGGGCCTCCCCCAAGGCCTTCAGCCTCTGGCTAGTTTTGGGCTTCCTCAGCAGAGGCCCATGGCACAGGTAGATTCTCCTCTTTGTATGAGGACTATTATTACTTTTAGCTTCTTTCATTGCCCACACAGGTTCAGAGACTGGTCAGAAACTTGTCCCAGAACCTGCTCATAGCTGGTCCTTTCTCAGATGCAGAATAAGCAAGAAGCAGCTGTGGGTCTGGGAGCCAGATACTCTTCTGCAAGTAGGCCTCCCCTGCCACAGGCCCAGACCTACCAGGGATGTCCCAGAGAAAAGCTCTGAGAACACCAAGGGGGAAAGCAGTGTAGACAAGTCAGTGGCCAGGCTGGCCCAGCCCTGAGCCCCTGAGAGTGGCTCATGAGGGAGTCTTTGTGCCCTCCACCCCCACCTACCACCACCAGCATCTCAGGGAAAGTGTCTGCATTAGATCACGCTTCCCTCTCAGTTTTCAACACTATTATGCTTGACCCCATGCAAGGCACAGGGCTCACCTCTAGCATCCCTCAAACAACCTTCAGCTGACCTAGACTCACCACAGGTAGCCCTTCTCTGAGCAGATGTTCAGGAATGTCCTGTGGACAGGAAAAAGGGAAACTCTGCCAATTGATTTCCCTGCCTCTCAATTCTGGCCCCAGAGAGGTTCTATGGTGGACCTGGAGTCAGGGCACCAGGCAAGCAATCTTGGGGCCAGGAGCTTTAGGAGGATACCAGCTCCTCTGACTTACCCATCTGCCCATTAACATTTCCTGCAACCTGGAATTCCATCACTGGTAATTTACTGTTTAGGTTACCTAATTTGCCTTATTTCTGAAGGCTTATTTTTACAATGCAAATATTATAAGAGAGGTAATAGATTAAGAGAGGCAATAGATTAATATTATAAGAGAGGTAATAGATTAAGTCCCTGATTTTATTTTATTTTAAATATATATCGAGCCCACAACCCAGGCATGTGCCCTGACCAGGAATCAAACCTGGGACACTTCAGTCTGCAGGTGGACACTCTATCCACTGAGCCAAACCAGCTAGGGCAAGTCCCTGATTTTAAAAAGAATGTTTACTACCAGATACCTTCTGTCCAAAAGGAGAGATGTAGACATAAATTCTGAGCTTGCTAAGGGTGATGTTAATGAAACAGGGAAATAAGTGCCAAAAAGGAGGGTTATGAGGGAGACTCCTGCATCCTCTGGGCAGAACTTGTGGTGTGATTTATGACCCCCTTTGACTCTATGCTCTGTAACAGGCCTTCTCCCAACACTGGGCTTCAGTTTCCCCTCTGTATGGTGGAAGCTTGGGTAGGGAAGGCAGAGGAATGGGATGTCAAGGCTGCTCATAGCCTAAGTTTCCTGGATCTCTACCTGCAGGTTTCCGAGAGAGTGCCTTCGCGTATGCCATTGCTGCAGCCGGCGTAGTGCACGCGGTTTCCAATGCCTGTGCCCTGGGCAAACTGAGGGCCTGCGGCTGTGATGCATCCCGGCGTGGGGATGAGGAGGCCTTCCTTCGGAAGCTGCACCGCCTACAGCTGGATGCGCTGCAGCGGGGTAAGGGCCTGAGCCACGGGGTTCCGGAGCACCCAGCCCTGCCCCCTGCCAGCCCTGGCCTGCAGGACTCCTGGGAGTGGGGCGGCTGTAGCCCTGACGTGGGCTTTGGGGAGCGCTTCTCTAAAGACTTTCTGGACTCCCGGGAGCCTCATAGAGACATCCACGCACGCATGAGACTCCACAACAACCGAGTTGGGAGGCAGGTAAGAACTACCCTTCCCAACCCCTCACTCTACTCCCTCTGCCACAGCCCCTCCCCTTCCCCAGCTTGCCTCTCCTCTGGGAACCACATGGCTCCCCCTAACTCAGCAACTTTCTCATTGCCCCCTCCTAATTCAGTCAACAAGCATGGATTGAATATCTACTGTGTGCCAGGCACTTGATTAGGCCTGGGGATAGAGGGCAGAAACAACCCCTGCCCTAATTAGCTCACCCTCTGCTGAGCAGCCTGCTCTGCCCATTTCCTCTGGGAACAATGGTGAGAGACAGGGTTGTAGTCAGACCTCAGTGGTCTAGCCCTGGCTCTGCCACCCTCTCTCCTCCCCTATGAAGTGGGAAATTTGAACTGGATCATCTATAAGGCCATCGCTCTAGTGTTCCATGATTCTGTGATATCCTCTGCTGCAACCCTCTTCTCTCCCAACCTTTCTGTGAAGAATGGGGAATTCCTCAAAGTGAGGTTCCTAGGAACCTCTATAGAACTGTGTCCCAGTCTCCCCTACCCTCAAATGGTCATGCTACCTCAAATGTCTCATTCATTTGAAGAGAGAGACACACACACACACAGAGAGAGAGAGAGAGAGAGAGAGAGAGAGAGAGAGAGATGAAAGTAATAATAAACTGGATTTATTGAGTGCTTACTATATGTTAGGTACTGTTTGGAGCACTTTACTACGTATTAGCCTACTTAATCCATACAATTACCTATTGAGGGTACTATTATGAACCTCAGGTTACGATATGGAAACTGAGGCACAGAGAAACTAAACTGACTGAAGGTGATGTAACCAGTGGGAAAGGGGTAGAAGCAGGATTCATCTCTGGGCAGTTGAGCTCTGGGGCCCTGCTCTTTTGCTTACAGCGTAGTCTACTCTAGGTGCACACCTACACTAAGGTGCCTCCTTAGCCTTATGGTAACTCAGCACTCTTCTTTCCTGGCTATTCCACCCCTACCCTGCCCCTTCTCTTGCCCTGCCAGGCCTGCTCAGGCCTTGGTCCGGGCTTCCCTTCACTCTGGCTGGCACCTTCTCCATCTCACTCCCCTTTCTCCTGGCCCCTCAGTCAGGCTGGCTCACCCTCTCATTCCAAAAAAATCTCCAAGCTGATTTAGCTCTTCCCATTCTGCCTTAGAGGTGAAGTAAACTGAGGCATATCCACCCTCAGGTCAAGTCTAGCTCCCACCCAGTCCTGCCCTGTCCATGCAGCTCTTTTCCCAAGCTTCAGTACGATCCCAGCCCATACCAGCAGTGCCTCCTCCTCATCGTTAAACTGGTTAATTAATGGCTGCTGCCTGTGGGAAGCAGATGTTCTGGAGCTGTTGGCCAGGGGAGGCTTTGGGCTGGTTCCCATGTGGTGCTGACACCACAGGCTGCACATACAGGCTGAGGAGCCCTTTAAAACATAGATGAGCAGGGTGTCTGTCTATGGCCCTCTTGCCCAGGTTGAGGGCCCCCGATCATTGCCCTCCCTGTCTGAGGGTGTATTTTTGACGTGGAACAGGGGGAGAGAAGGATGTGGTCAACTAGGTCCTCTGGGTCCTCTGGTGAGGATAATGCCAAGGGCTTCTTTGGTAGGAGACTCCAGAGAAGAGCAGGGCGTGGGTAGGTTCTGTTCCCTAACCACCTCCTTTGGAGGTCTGCGAACCCCTCTCCACTTTCATTGGGTTGGCGGGTCTGGCTCTTTGGGTTCTGTTCCCATTCTGCATTCAGGTAAAGCCTTGGAGCCCTGTTGGTGTTCTGTTTCCTAGGAGGAACTATGTACTCGCATTGGGCAGAATAAGCCCCAGGCAGTCTACTGGGGGGAGGGCTGTCTCTCCATCCCCTCCCCCTCCTAGATTCCCAGCAAAGGGTTTCAGGGCCCAGAGGAGGAAAGGGGCTTTTTCAGACTCCCCGAAGCCCCCACTCACAGCCTGGAGCAAGGCCAGAGGCTTTGGGGCTGGGATGTAGTGGGGCCAGCAAGCCCCTGCTTCTGGCCCCCACCTGAGGGATGGAAGGAGAGGGAATTTCCCTGAGGATCTGGGATCCCCCCTCAGGAAGCAAGAGCCTCCAGCCCCAAGGGCCCCCTGCAGGTGCTGGGAAAGGCGGGCAGGAGGAGGGGGGAGCAGGAAAGAGGGAATTCCCCCAAGGCCTGGCCTGGTGGGAGGTGGGTGCGAGAGCATCAGAAGCGCAGGCAGATTTCTCTTCTGCACAGCCTGGCTCAGGGGCTGTGCGCCGGCCCTCCAACCCCGCTTCGGGCCTCAGTTCAATGGGCGTTGGTTTCAAAAGCCTCTGACTCTCTCAGACCAGTGTCTTGTGTTGGAAGGAGGGCAGTGGGGTGGCCTGGGTCACTTCTCACCGTGCCTCCCTCTGCAGGCCGTGATGGAGAACATGCGGCGGAAGTGCAAGTGCCACGGCACCTCAGGCAGCTGCCAGCTCAAGACCTGCTGGCAGGTGACACCGGAGTTCCGCGCTGTGGGGGCGCTGCTGCGCAACCGCTTCCACCGAGCCACACTCATCAGGCCGCACAACCGCAACAGCGGCCAGCTGGAGCTGGGCCCAGGGGGGGCTCCCTCTCCGGCCCCGGGCGTTCCCGGACCACGCCGCCGGGCCAGCCCTGCAGACCTGGTCTATTTCGAGAAGTCGCCCGACTTCTGCGAGCGCGAGCCGCGCCTGGACTCGGCGGGCACCGTGGGCCGCCTGTGCAACAAGAGCAGCGCGGGCCCCGACGGCTGTGGCAGCATGTGCTGTGGTCGGGGCCACAACATCCTGCGCCAGACACGCAGCGAGCGCTGCCACTGCCGCTTCCACTGGTGCTGCTTCGTGGTCTGTGAGGAGTGCCGCATCACCGAGTGGGTCAGCGTCTGCAAGTAGCAGAGGGCTCCCCTCCCCGAGACTGGCCTTTTCCCTGCTGCTTGAGACCTTGACAGAGTCGCCTTGGCTCCTGGGAGAGGAGGTTGAATCACATGATCTTATAGGAACCTTCCAGTTCTGAGGGTCCTCAAGTTTGTAATCACGGGAAAGTCTAGACCTCAGTACTCACTTCTGTGGGCTCCAAGCTCCAGCTGCTCAGTTGGGCTGGGAATTGCCCCACATCCTGGGGCAAGTGCCACCAACCCCATGCCTGTTTCCTTTCATCCTTCCCCCCTTCCCCTGGAGTGGGAGGGAATGAATGGAAGCTGATGGGCAGTGGGAAGAGGATTGAAAAGAAGAAATGGACATAACTGAGCTGCAGAGATCCTAGAGAGGCCCAGACACCCTCCCTGACGGGCTTCTGCCCCTCATCATTCAATTAACAAATATTTATTTTGCACTCTTTGTGGCCTGGTACTCTTCAGGGGATGAGGGGTGCTGGGAATACAGATGTGAATAAGAGAGACAGCACCTGCCCTCTTGGAGTTTACATTCTGGCTGGGGGAGATGGACAATAAACAAGTAAATACATAAACAAGTTCATTTCAGACAATGCTCATTTCAAAACATTGCAATGCTATGTGCGATGAAGAAAATAAAACAGAGTGCTGAATGTAGAGTAACTTGGGGGGAGTGGGGCTCCTTTAGATAAAGCCATTGAGTGGTCCAGGAAGGCCTCTGGAGTTGTGATACTGTTGCTGGGGGCCCCATGAGAAGGAGAGCCATGCACAGATTGAGGGTAAGGGCTTTTCAGGCAGAAGCCATGGGAATGCAAAAGCTCTGATGAGGAATAGCGAAGAGGCCAGTGTGATTGGAGTGAAGAAATCAAGGGATAGATTAGCAGGAGAGGAGCTGGGTGCAGGGGAAGGGTCATATCATGTATCCTAGGTCAAGGTAAGGAGTTGGGATTTTATTGAAGAGGAATGGAAACCTTCACAGGGTCTTAAGCAGGCACAGGCAAGTGTCATGGTCTGATTCCCACCTGGATTACTGCATGGGGAACTGGCTGAAGGAGGACAAGCTGACAGCAGGGGAGCCAGTTAGGAGACTATAGCTGTCTTCCAACCCAGAGATGGGGCCCAGACTAGATGGAGTGGAGGCAGGGGATGTTGACAAGGGGCTGGATCAAGAGCCCTTGATGCCAGAGCTCTAGCAGTCCAGCTTGTATCTGAACCTTCTGCCACAAGCCAGGACGAGTGGCTGTGCCCAGCAGCACCCGGCAGCAGAGACAGGAGGCACTCTGAGAAGAGTAATCCTGGGCAAGACCCAGCTCAACCCAGCCCAGTGCCCCAGGGAGCAGGTGGGGTTAGGAGGTGCGGCTGGGAGAAGGGTGGCGGGGGAGGGCCAGGAGACTCACTGTCTGGATTCTGGTCTCTCTGAGTCCAGGCAGGGGAGGTGGGGTATATAAGGCTGGGGTGGGGGAGGGAGGCATCCTTCCTGGACCTCTTGTGCCCCCAGATCCCCAACTCAGGGTGCCCTTGGGTCAGCAAGCACATCCCCATACTCATGCCCCCATGAAAACACTGCTGAGCTGGTTCAGTGTCACACTCTCCTTGGCTCTCAGATCTGATGTTTTCTGGAACAGATCCTCAAAGAGGAGGTGGGAGTGGAGAGGAAAGTGGGATCAGGACCTTAGGGAGAGAATACTTCACCTCTTCATCCAGGCCTCCTGCTGCTCACAGTTGGGGATCCTGCTGCCTGCCTCAGTTCACCCCAGAGTGCCACCCTTCATGATCAACTGGACAAGGACAGAGTCTCATTCCTCTCCCCAATTGTCAGCCTACAAAAATCCCTCATATTTCCCTAGCCCTGTCCCATGTCTCCCTACCCCTGGGGAAGGGTAAGAAGGAAAGGATGCACCCTGTAGGCCCACCAGCTGGGAGATTTGACCTCACTAGCTTGTCCTCAGCTCCCTCCCCTCCAATGCCTGCATCCCAGCAGCTCCCAGACATGCCTACGGCAGCATGGCCTTCCTTTCACATGCTCAGCTTTTCTGCCTCTATGGAATACAGGGTTTCTCTCCCCATCCCCCAAAAGACAGCCCCACAGGCAGGCAGGCCGGTAAGAGTCCCCAGGGAGGAGGGGTAAGCAGGAGCAGCCAGACACACCTGCCTCATTCCTTTCCTCTTGTTCACCCAGGAGAGCTGTGGGGGCTGGGTTCCTGGCCATACCATCCTGAGGAGGAGGAGGGAAGGGGGGGAGTGGAATGGTGGCACGTGGGGAATGGAGGAATAGGGGGTGGGCACTTCCTCCCCCCAGCAGTGTCCACCACAGCATAAGCTTTGGCCTCCTCCTCCTCTGCCTTCCTTGCTTAAGGAAGACAGAGCTGGGGGAGGAGAGACTGGAAATGGGGGATATAGGATCAGGGTTGGAATTTGGAGGCAGGAGGTGTAACTCTGGAGAGCATGCTGCCTCTAGAAGGAAGGGTGGGCGGTGAGGTGTGGCAGGGGGCTGGACACCAGACCAGTTGAGTCATGGTGATCTGACATATGCTAGTCTGACATGTAAAGGAAGACAGGAAAAGTTGGGGAAGGAACAAATAGGGTGTTGCCCACCCCCATCCTCTCTCTGGGCCAGAAGCTGACTAGAGTCCTGAGACCAAAGCTGGATCCCATAATTGAACAGGCAAGGGTGTGTGGAATTTGGTAAAGGCCTGAAGGGAGATGTGGAGATGATGAAGGGCAGGGAAAATGGGGCCCAAGAGGCATTGGGCTTATGTATACCGGCTAAAGGGTGAGGCAGGAATCAATGTACTGATCAACTTCCCATTGTGAAATGGGCTGAAATAAAGTGGGACAGTGGAGGTAGATGGGAGGAAGAACTTTCCAACAGCTCAGAGAGGACCAGGGCTGAGATTTGGAAATGAGAACAGAAGGGGGACCAGAGAACATTCAGAGAAGGGAACCATCTCCGCCCTCAACACCTTTCACCTTGATGGACACTGAGTCATCTTGCAGAAGGAAAACATAGTTTGGTCTAATGCAGTGCTTCTCAACCTTGGCTGCACATTAGAATCACCTGGGAATCTTTTTAAAATCCTGATTTCTGGGCCTCATCATCCGGAAATTCTGTTTCTTTGTTACTAATGTTGTGGCCCCAACCCATAACAAAGAAACAGAATTTCCGGAGGGTGAGGCCCAGAAATCAGGATTTAAAAAAGATTCCCAGGTGATTCTAATCTGCAGCCAAGGTTGAGAACCACTGGTCTAATGGAACCTGGAAGGTCCCAACGGGAGGAAGGGGAGGAACTAATAGAGAATGAGGGTGGTGGACAGATCAGCAGGCAGTGGTGGGTTCAAGGTCCGGGAGAAGCAGCCAGATTAGTGTGGGGATCAGAAACCAATCATCCTGCTTTACAGTCGCCCAAGGTCCCAGGGTTGGAAAAAAGAAGAGGACAGAGGCAAAGGTAGACTTTGGTAGCTGTCGGAGGGCCCTGGTGGGTGAGAAGCAAGGTCAGGGGCATCCTCACCCTACCCCTCCTTCCCCCGAATTAAAGTGCCCCCAGCTAGCCCCCGGCAGGGGGCCTTCCACACTGGAGTTTGGCCAGGCCCTAGTCGCGGTCCCCCTCCTCCCCTCCCACTCCCACTTCTTATGTGGTTGCCGGCAGCTGCCTGCGGTCGCCCCAACCCCTGCGCTCAAGGCGCGGGGACTTTCCAACAGGGGAAAAAATGACTTAATGAGAGTGGGAGCCGGGGGCGGGAGGGACAGGTCCCTGTAATCACCGCTCGGCTGTTGGGCCTGCGCGCCTCCGGGCCCTACCCCAGCTTCCTGCTGCCAGCGCCCCCTTCGGGCTCTGCTGGGAGAGGAGGACGGGCTGGGGACAGGGGGGATTCCTTTTTAGGTTCCCGGCTCTCTGGGGCTCTCCAGCTGCTTTTGCTCCCTAGGCTTGCAGTGTGTGGAAGCTGTAACACCCCATGATCCCTCTCTGGACTTTGTCCTGGAAGTTGGGGGAGGGCAGTCTCCTGAGGAACCAGGGTCCTCTGCTGGTGAATTAGAGGGGTGAGGGATCGGGAGCAGAGCAGAGCCCTTTGCCACTTCGCGGCTGCGCACTTCGAAACGCCCCCGGTTGCTGTGGCAACCAGGGCAGTCGAGGTGTGTCCGCAGGGCTGGGAGGCGCCCCCCGCCTCTTCTCGCCGCCCTACGGGCCAGGCCGGGCTGCTGGGGGGCGCGGGGGTGGGGGTGTGCCGTTACCATGGCAAGGGTGCGCTAGTAGG